TATGAGAAATAGGATTTAAAAATAGAGAGGGAACATGTGTTTCAATCAGTAGAAATGGTATTTTAATAACTGAACTTGAAGAATGCGATAATAAATATAAAATTTAATATGAGGGTTGTTTTGATTGTAAATATCAATGTGGTCAAGATTGTTTAGATTGTTACAAAGGAATATGCCAAAAAAATGTAGAAAAATATGAATGTTGTTGAGAATTAATGTATACGAATATGTGTTTAAATGATGGTTAACTATGAAATAGAATGCGAAGATAAAAATAACATAGAATACAATGAATGTATTAATGGTAAATTCTAATTTGCATTTGATTGCGAAGAATCATATTGTTAAAAAATATAAGCCTTAAATTAACACCACCATCGACTCAATAAAACTAACAATTTTAGCTAACTGGTGATTTTGATGATGCTCAAAAAAATATGTTAATAATTAAAAAGTAGTTGGATTTGTAATAAATCAGAATGTATTTATTCAGAAATTCTTAAGCTAATAATTAATGATTAAGATTAAAAGCTAAAAATTAAAAAATAACTTTAGATTAGGAAGTCAAATTGAATAAGTTAAGATTAAAAATATTCAGAATTTTTTTCAAAATATAGAAAAATGTGCTCATATTATTAATCTGAGGATTAAGAGCTTTCTAATATAACCAAATAAGTTTAGTATTGTTAATTTTAAGTTTTATAAAGTTATTTCCTTTTTATTGAAATCTATGAATAAATTTAAAATAGCCACTTCTAATTCTTCATACTGAACATTTAATACATAATTCAAATAATTAAAGTGTTAATATTATGAATTATAATATAACACTAAAAATACCTCTTATTTTAAAAATGTAGAGATTTAAAGATCTAAAAAAATGCAATAAGTTCGTTAAGGTTTTATAATTAATTCAATATCATTTGCAGCACTTTGTTATTCTCAAAAGGATCTTTATTTATGGAAGAAATACCCAATATCGTTTAATATCAGTCATTTCAAAAGTTATCGATTTAGAATATCCACAAAACTTACTTATATATTTTTCGGCTTCTGAAATGTTATCAATTTCAAATCACTTGCAGTTTTTCAATTTAGGCAATGCTATTGATGATATTTACCATAGGAACTTAATTTTTAATAAGAATTATAGCTATTTAACTTTTTTTACGATTATTGAACAATAGAAGAAGCAAATCTCTTTTCTAATATTACTACTCCTTAAATATTCTAAGCCTTTTTATTTGTACTAATAATGTACTCTGGCTTAATTTTTTGATATCATTCTTTAGAAATTAATTTAAAACCAATATTTATTTCTAAACAATATACAAAAGTAACACTAATATTCTTTAGATAAAATTGCAAAACAATTCAATTTTTGAAAATTTTCAATATTATTTTAGTTTAAAATATGTAAAATAGATTCAATTACTTAACTCTTGGAATTTACTATTTCAAATCTATTTTATATCTTCGTTAAATTAAAGAAGAAAATATTAGAAGCATTATTGAGTCTTCTTTGAGTTTAACTATTAGAACAACTTATTTAAATCTCTCAGTCAACTGTTTTCACTCTTGTAGAAAATAAAAATTAGTAAACAAAATCGAAAGGTTAGATTAAATATTTTTAACCTTCAGACTTTTTCGAACATTCTTGTTTAGTTTAGTATATTATTTTAAGAGGACGAAGTTTTATAGACCTTATTTTTATTTATTGGTAGTTTGTGTTAGTATTTACAGTTTGATTAATCTTATTGATGTGCAATTTTTTATGAATTATATGTTGATTTCAACAATTTATTTTTTTAATTAATATGTAGAGATTAAATCAAGATATCATTTAAATTATAGGATTTGCTCATATACGCTTATTATTTATAAGTACATCATTTTTAGTAGTTAAGTAAGTTTTATTAATCTTCAAATTATAATGATTTACTATATTTCATGATTTTAATTACTTTTACTGACAACCATGTGGTCGGATTTCCTAAATTCTAATTTAATTGCATTAATATAATATTATCTATTTTAAAAATAGCAATAATAGTTTTCCCTTGTTGAAATAATATAAGATAGAAGGACATAATAATTGAGGATATGGTTTACTGCTTGATTAATGGATTATAAATTTGTCATTTTTTAAATTCACTATTTCCATAATAAATTAGATAGTCTTTTGTGTTGGCCAGCAATCTAAATACTTAGATTTAGATACATCAAATAATCTCATTATCAATACAAGATGTTTTAGGCATTAATATGAAAATAAAATAAATGTAATAAATACATTTTCATAAATTTAATTTATAAACATAATAATATCCATCATTCCAAACAACTTAATATTATTTATCGTTAGATAAAGTTCCAAACAATTACTTGTTTTAGAATCTTAAATAGGTTAGCATTTTCATTTTTCCTAAGTTGTCTCTTTTTTAAAAATAGATATATCTGTTATGCTTAACAATTAAAATTTATTTATTATTGATGTACTAAATTGGGAAGCTAAATAAATCTGATTTTTTAAAGTCTAATTACATATTTGTGATTTCAACTACCTTTTCTTTATTTTTCCCTTCTATCTTCATTTCAATTAGTTTTCCTTCATTATGTGTACAAAATACAAATGTTGAATCATTCAAAAATTTACCTCTGCAAGCTTAATCTTATTATGTAATTTTATTGAGTAATTTCCACTCATTATTTTATTATTTTTCCCAAACGATGATCTACTTATCTTCTCCAAAAGCAACTAATTATGTTTCAGATTCATTAAGACTGATTGACCAACATTATTTAGTAAACTCTTTTAGTTCATTTTCAAATATAAATACCTTATTGATTTAATCTACTTTCCATATTCTGATGTTTCCAAATGAATCACTTGTAAATAATTTATCTTCATTTTTATTTAAAATCATAGATCTAAAACCTCCATTATTTTTAGTTTTGTAGTTTTACGCTTCGATACATTCCCAATTATTATTGGAAAAATACCACATAAAAATGCTATAGTCTCCTAATCCTCCAGCTGAAAAAAAGGAATACTTGTATTTTTAGCTAAATAAAATGCAGGCAACATCATTTTTGTGCTAACTTTTTGGTTTATTAAATTCAATCATTTATCCTTCTTGAAATTACCAAATATGTATAATTTCATTTTCAGTTGTAGCTAACAAAGAATCATCCAAATTAAAGCAGAGGGCTTATGACTTCTTTATTTATTATAACTTGCTCTTATACGATTATATTTCGATCGGATATATATTACCAAATTAATAAGAGAAATCCTTAATGTTCATAATAAATTATTTTAAGTCCTTCTCATAATCTTATCTTAATTTTAAAGATTATTAACTAAAATAATCATCTTGATATGTAGGCCTAACAGAGTATAAATAATTGTTCACCACTTTATAAATTCCTTCAATTTAGTTACAAAAATTTGATGAAGTGTATGTTATGAGTCTATTAAGATTGTCATCCATTTTTTATTATTTTATTTTTTAAGGTGCATCATTTTTAAATTTATCACAGAAATATTATTAAAGATCTTGATTTATATGCTATCCTTCAATAATTTTCAAGATCTTTTAATCCTAGGCAAACTGGAAATTTTTTTTCATAATTTTATTACTATTTGAAAGACTTGAGTTGTTTTGAGAACTTTGATCATCTATTTATGATTTAACTCTTTAAAGCGCTTCTTTTAACTTTTAAAAATTGCTTTTTAAAGCTATTACTATTTCCGGCAAATTATTTTATGATTCATAGAAATCAAATTGATAAATTTCATCTCCACTTTTAACTGTCTCATTTTCGTTCAATCTATCATCATAACGATCATTAGATTCAGATAATTATTATTCTTCTTATTATTCTTTATAAGATTTTTAATTTCCTACTAAATATTATTTTCTGTATTATTGTAAAATTTATTCAAGCAATAAAAGACATTAACCTATTAATTGTAATGCACTTTCATTATTAAAATTCATGGATTTCTTACTGTTAGGATTTTATGATATTTATCATTTTTAATAGAAATGAATTTATATAGTGCCTAATTCTATTAAAAATGGTAATTCTATTAATAAATTGATAAATAAGTATTCATTATTCTATTAAAGTAAATTTTGAAATCATAAATATGGCTAACTAATCTATAATTATTTCATTTCTTATAACAATTATGGATTTAATATCTCTTTTTATTTCACTTCATTTAATTTGATCCTATCAATTTGCAAATTAATCATTTCTGTTGCTTATGCTAGATATTAATACATATAAGTTGGAACAGTATAGCTTCAATTTGAATCTTAAAAAAATGAAACAATTTTATTGTAATAAATCTTTTACTTTTATACAAGCATAGAAAGTTTTTTAGATTTGTTACTTAAACTTAAATCTGTACAATTAAAATTGCAATCTAAAAGTTCAAAATACATACTCTAAAAAATGAAATGAAATTTAAGTAAAAAATAGTTATATTTAATTCATTAAAGATTACTGCAATTAGGATAATCGATCCTATAAGCCAAAGATTCTCTTCCTTTACTAAATTCCCATTCTTCAAGACCTTCAGCACCTTATGTTCAGACAAAAGCTCGTTTGGCATAAATTTAATCGAACTTTTTTCCAAACTACCAAAATCTATAAACAATTGAATCATCATTCGAAAAGAACATTCCAGTTTATTTAATTGAAGTCAACTCAGATAATACTTAATAATTAGATGAGGTACATTGAAAAACTCAAGGGTTTAAATAATAGAGATGTTCTAAATTTTAAACCATCAGATCAAATTTGCCATAAAAAGGATTCTCTTCCTGTTTTCTTAATAATAAAGTTGTTGAAAGATGTTGAGGATGAATCTATTTTTAAGTGAGATTTTTTTATGAATTCAGATTGATTTTAATTTTTTCTTATGTAATCATTTATTGAAGTCATTCTCTTATAGGAATTAGGAAAGAATGAAATAATTCAAATTAGGATATGGAAGCATGTTTAAAAACAATATGAAATTGCTAATATTTTTAAATCTTTTTGGTACTGTGTAATAACTAATTGTTTATGCAATTGCATAATTTAAATGGGAATAATCTAAATAATCTAAATCTAATTGTTAATGGATTACATTGTACATTGACTAATCGTCAAACATTATGATACAGTGAAAAATTCTTATGTCAATTTTATTATAAACTTAGCATTATAAATTTCAATAACACTATTTGAAATTCTGAGAATGGAAATAATATAAAACCATTTGTTTTAATTTATCTCCATAATCAAAATTTAATTACCTCATTAATTAACTAGAAAATCTTATTGAAGTTGTTACTACAAATTAATCTAATCGATCCATCTTTACAATTTGTTTTCTAATAAAGTCTAATCCT